CCTCTCTGCTCGTCTCTCTCTCTCTCTCTCTCTCTCTCTCTCTCTTTCTTTCTCTCTCTTTCTCACTATCCCACTGTACCCGATTCTCCTGTCAGCCTTTATATGCCAGTTGCCAGTCACTAATCGTTTACGTAAAATGCTCTGTTTTTCAATTTGGAGCGCATGGCAACCGTCGACCTTTCACACGCTGCGCTCACGTCATCAATTTATATCGATTTATATCGATACACGTATATGTGTACCTATAACGCTAGGCGTGTCAATTTGCTCCAACAAAGTAAAATCGAAGTTGTCTGTCGTTTTACGCCGGGATTTTTCCATGACACATATCGTTATCGCGGATTTACTTGTCATTGAAGCCGCGAAATATTTATTCACGGCCGACGTGACATCTTAATCGTCCGGCCAGCAGCGGCGCGCGCGCGCGCGCGCGCCCGGCTGAAATCAGCCCGGTTATTTGCCAAATTTCTGCTCCATATTGAGATATACGGCGGCGCGGTAGACGCGGAAACGCATTAAAAGCTCCATTACGCGCGAGCGCGGAATGCCAGATACCCGCGGGCAAGATAAATCTTTTCTGGTCGAAACGGTAATGGAAAAACACTCGGTGGCATCGGTTGTCATTGTTATCCTTTCACCGACGGTGTGGTGTTGCCAACGCGGTAGCACATAGGTCGGGTTAGTGGATACGCGAAGGAAAACAACAATCCGTGCCGTCGCAAAGTACGCGCGTTTGTACGCTGCCCGCGGAAAATAGGTCAGTCGGAGTCGAATGACTTGGCGCGATCTCGCCTGTTTCCGCGACGCGGCGCGGGGCTGTCCGATGCTGTTGCGACGAAAACACGGCGATTCTCCGGCGGACGATAATCCACGACGCTTTCAATTCCGGAGAGCTGCCAAAGGATATCCCCGTCTCACCGGACCGGACTCGAGAGATATCGCGGGTCGATAAGCAGCGCGCTCGCCGAGCGATCCTTGAGCGGGTATTTTCGACAATAGCCATTAATTACTCCCGCAAGTTCTCTCGGATGTTCCGCGATATCGCGCGCGCGATTCGAGCGCTACTTTTCATAATTGCGCACTTTGAGACGGAGCATTGATCCGCGGACGTTAAGGCGAGTGTACGCGCTAATCGAGCGAAGCGGAGAATTGGAATCCCTTGTACATAATCTGGAGATTATGCCGCCGGTATATGGTACACTTTGAATTTGAGAAGTTTGAGCGCCCAGGAAACTTTGCTGTAGCGCGACGCTACCTCACGCTACTGCGATGGTCCGATGGTTATCCTTGGTCGCTGGCGCTGGCTGGTTTCGTCCAATTTTTCGCGCGATTCGGCGAGCCGCCGCAGCAGCCGCAGCCGCAGCCGCTCTCTCGTCCCTGCGCGTTCCGTTGGAAATTCACAGCCGTTGCGAAATAATTCCACGGCCATTGAACGGCCGCGCGCTCCTCGGGGGTTTTAAGTAATGAGGCTGTCTCGAAGATGACAGAAAGTTCGATGAATATGGCGCGCGCGCGCGCGCGACGTAATTGGGATTCCGGGATCGAGCTGGATTCGGGTGACCGGCTGAGGGAAAAAGGGTGTTCTTCGCGCTTGTACGGAGAAGGGGCCTGCTTGCGCGCCACCGATCCAAGGGTGGGCGAGGGTGGCGACGATCCTAGCCGCGGTGGGCTGGCGAGGGTGGCGGCGTAGGAGGATTTGGAGCTCTGCCACGTCGGGAGCACCCTCCTGCTCGAGAGCTCTACTGCGATCACCGATACCACACTACAGTACCTCCGCGGTTGGTACTCGTAGGGGCTTGGAGGAGGCCGGAGAGAAGCGCGCGGCCCTCTCGAGGAGGAAACAGGTGGAACGACCGAGGCTCCGCTTGCTCCGGAAGAGCGTAAATATTGATAATCCCTCCGACTACATGTAACTACTCGTTTATCAGCCTCGCTGAATATAATCGCGCCGCAAATTAAAATTGTTTCGGGGCTGGCCGGGTTGAGCGACGGTATCGTCGTCCGATATTTTCCGGGGGAGTTGCCTGAAATTTAACGCCGTGCGCGCACGGCAGTAACGGGGAGAAAAGTGACGGCAAAACAGCGGCGTGCGTCGCGTTAATGGGAGCACGCGTCGAGTCGTTAGATGAATCGATAGTTAAACGGCCGGAGGAAATATTGGCCGATAATATTGGCCTCAGCCAGTGTCGTCGCTCGAGTTCTCCTCTACACATTCTAGATCAGCCGGCGATCAGACTGAGACTTAGCGCTTCGATTCAAGCGGCTCGCGATTATTCATGATTCTTTATATTCGCGCGTATTAGAATATAAATGTGCTTGTGTACGGCTAGACTACACCGCTCGACCTCGAGCTGTAAAGACTGTATCTCTCATGTCGTTTATTGTAATTTGAAATGACAGGCTGTATACGATGATAGTCGTTATCGTTGGCTATAATTTCCATTCAGACAGAATTACAGGGTTGATGTAATTTACATGAACATGTGTTGGCATGTGTGTGTGTGTGTGTGTGTGTATGTGCGATTATATATAAAATACAATACCGCGATATTAAAATGCGACAACTGTTAAAGACCCAACTGCAGTGTGCTTTCTGTACTGCATAATTGGTGGAATTGGGCGATTCCGCGTGTCTGATTTGTCGAAGACTCGCCGAATCATATATTTAGCGTGCATATATTTAGCAAATTTTACGATCGATGCGACTAGACTGGCCGCGCGCGTTGAGATTTCACCGGTGGAGCAACGTATCGTAACTGGCAGGGGAAAGAGTCCGAGTGTACGCAGCCGTCGGCCGCGAGTAGTACAACGCGTCGAATGTTTCGTGCAAAGTGATCGATCGCGAGTGATGGCTCGCTCCGCGGCAAACTTTGCCGGCTGTATTCGCGGATTATTAATACGTGCCGCTGGTGAATCGCGATCAACGGATGAACGAGCATCGGCGCGAGCTTCAGCGCCGACGCTCCGTTCTACGCGTTTCCGCACGGTTCGCCTCTGCCTCTGTCCGCGTTTCCCTTTTCTAGCCACCCGGTCGTCGCGAGTGGCCATTTGGTCGACGATGAAAAACCCTCACTCGAGGGTTTCTACTTATACTTCTTCGAGTATTGCCGATAATTGCCGAATAGCTCGGGAGAATGTATCATTGTTCCTGGGCGCGGAAGATGTTTCGGGATGTTACACTATACACTTAATGCACGATCGCGTCGCTCCGTATATTTTTAACCCTTTACTGCTTCCAAGCTGACATTAAGTTGTGCGTGACGCAGGCGCGGATATTTTATAAAATATGGTAGAGAAAGAGAGAGAGAGAGAGAGAGAGAGAGAGAGAGAGACCGCACGCGCGTGTGATTTTTCCTCCCAGCTCATTTTTTGCATCATTGCGATTTCGCAATTGTAAGCATATCTGTCTGTCCGAATGAATCAAAGCATCGATCGTGATCACTGTTACACTCCGAATGAACCCTTGCCACATATCCAGCTAGAAGAACAGTGCCGTTCACCACCGTGTATTGTGCTCGTCGATCACGTATCGATCGGGTGGGAGGCGGGAGGACGCGAGGGCGCGAGGCGGGGGAGGGAACGCGAGTTGCACGTTGTGAGACGATCGATGCGCCCGGCGCGGCGCGGCGCGAGATATGTTATGATTATTAAAACGCGAAGAGCTTCCTTATCGTCGCCTTGGAGGCACGAGGGATGGCGCGGCGTCATTGTGATCATGGAAAGAGCTCGCGCGCGTGGTGGTGAAGCGCATACGCTTGGACATGCAATGTGGCTGCGTGTATCCGCTCATTTACATGCAATCACGAAGGTGCATCCAGACGGCGGAGAGAGAGAGGGGGGGAGGGAGGGAGAGAGAGAAAGAAAGAGAGAGAGAGAGAAAGCTACGCGCCGCTCTCATTGTGGCGCCCGTTATGTCAAAGGCTAAACCTCTATCTTGTTTGCACTTGATGGTAGGCAGCGGGTTGACGTCAGACACGATCGCGTAATAAAACTTTGTTATTCCCGGCGAGGTGGCATAACGAGTGACGCCTGTCGCGAGATGAAGATGCCACTCGTCACCATTTGCCCGCGTGATATTTTTCAAACGTCCAAATGACCCGAGACTAATCTGCGCGTATCGCGAGCATCGCCGGTGCGGTCGCCGCATAACCAGTGTGAGAAGAGCGTGAGAGGGGGGAGGGGAGGAAGAGAATACATATATACAGTATTATTGTTGTTGACGTTGAAGATTTCTATGACGATGATACGGGTAACACTGCCGATGGAAATAACTATGCGAATAAAATGGTATAATTATGCGAATAAAATGGAGTGGTGATTAGTCGTCTCCGCGGGGGAAGCATCGATGATGTGGAATCGGCAAAACTCTGCACTTATCGCAGATAGGTCTTACCGAAATAATAATGTCCGCTTTGTAGCGGAATGTCTAAGCGTACGCGAGATACCGACTTTTCTAAAATACCTCTCGGACATTCAGCCTTCCAGACGCCTATTCACGACACATGCACAGGCTTACCTTTCTCCCTCTCTTTCTCAAAGCTATTTCCTCGCGAGTTTCTAACACACCTACAGGGACCGTTTGACCCTTGCGGGTTTGAAAGAGACCTACGAGAGGCACGGGGAGGAGACGGCTTATCGAGAGCAACGTGCGACGAATCCACGATAATTCAGCAGCGCGCGACGGCAACACGACACAGCAACAATCGGTCGTTCCCGCGCAGAGCTCTATTTTCTAACATCACAAATACTGGTGCGCGCGCTACGCGCGTCGAATCGCGCGTATTCAAAGGCGCGAGTTACCGAGCAACGCGGCGTGGCGCGGCGCGGTGCGCCGCGCCGCGCCGTTTCGGTCCGTCGCGTCGACGCGCGAGCTCACCGCCTCACCGAGAAGACGACAGCACGTTGCTGGTTGCGTCTCGAAGACGATGAGCTCTCGCGACGTTGGACGTACTCTCGTGTATGTACACGCGACGAAGACACAAAGCGATGTTACGACTTACGCGGCGTATGCGAAGGGTGCGCGATGCGTGGCGGGCAGCAAGGCGACCGTGGCCGCGAGGAGGGCGAAGCTCCAGGAGGCGACGTGGAAGGAACCCATGTTTGTCCCCCGGAGTCGCCGCGTCTGTCGGCGTTCTCGTGAGGAGGAAAAGCACGACACCAGCCCGCGCCGCTTGGAGACGGCGAGGACGAGGACTACGTCGACGGCTGTTCCGAGGCGTTGCTACCTGGCGCGTTGACCCGGCGCCTCTCTGCGTGTCGTCCGTGTCTCACCCTCCCTCCCTCCCGCCCGCCCGCCCGCCCGCCCCGCCCTCCAACCCCCGTCTTACTTCCTCTTCGGGCTCCTCTCCGTGTGCTTTCCGCGACCCTCCGCTCTCGCGCTCTCGCGACGACCTCCCTCGCTCCCCGTCTCGTTTCTCGCCCGATCCTCGCTCTCTCACCTCTCCCGTTTCTCACCGTCCGTTGCCCGTCACTATCACTCTCACGACGGTAGCCCCGCTGCTTTAGCGCGAGCACTCGAGCGACGACGACGACGACGACGACGACGACGACAACGACGACGACGACGGCGACGACGACAACGTGGACCGGCGATCCGTGATATCGCGGCACTCTCTCGGTTAACTCGTGGCGATGAGCTTCCCTCACCGCGAGCACACCACCCGCTCCGCTCTCGCGACGTGCGCGACGTGACGCTCCCTCCGCCTTTGCACCTCCGTCACTCGCGACGAGATAGATCACAATAGGGCTGTCTTGATTGGCCGTCTCGCGATGAAGGCTGATGAACGCGCGGAGCAGCAGTAGCAGTCTCGCCAAGGTGTCGAGCGCGACGGTGCCGTCAGCGAACACTCCGCGATCTCACTGCGAATCTTTCTGCTGCCGTTTTCTCTCTCTCTCTCTCTCTCTCTCTCTCTCTCTCTCTCTCTCTCTCTCTTTCCTTCCCTCCCTCCCTCTCTCTCTTTCTCTCTCTCTCTCTCTCTCTCTCTCTCTCTCTCTCTCTCTCTTTTTCTCACCCCGTTCTTTTCGCGCACGACACCGAGTCTCGTTCGCGATTCCCGCTGCGTCGTCGAGCTAGAAGCGACACTGGGATGACACTCGAGCGGGGGATAACGGGTGTTATCGGACCGGTCGACGGAGGAGGGAAACGAGATCCTCCTGGAGGTTGTACGCGTCCCTCGCGTTCTACAGAGTGATCGGAGCCTCTTGATCGCCTGCGGTGTCCTGCCACGGGCTCCGCTTCCGCAGGATCCTTCCTCTCGCGGTGGACATTCTTCCGTCTGCTCCTGTCACCTTTCTCTCTTTCTCTCTCTTTCTCTCTTTCTCTCTCTCTCTCTCTATCTCTGTCTCTCTCTCTCTCTCTCTCTTTCTTTCTCTCGCGCCTGCTCTCGCACTCTTTCGCTCGCTCTCGCCCTCTCTCGCTCTTCTCACGGGGACACTCGGTCAGCACCCGCGGTACACCGCTACGCGCTCGGGAGTGGCGGCTCTCGCGTCTAGCCCGGCCGTTTCAGCGCGCAGGCGCGCTATTCCTTCCTGCCTGCCTGCCTGCCTGCCTGCCTGCCTGCCTGCCTGCCTGCCTGCCTGCCTGCGTGCCTGCGTGCTTCCCTACCTACCTGTCTGCCCACCCTCGCCCTTTCTCACTCTCATCCCCTCCTTTTCTGTCTCTCACCCACCCTAACCTACCCGCTCGCCTCGAGCCGACGACTAGCGTCGTGCCTGCGCTCGCTGTCACCCTGACTACTTGATTGTTTCATGAACTTCGTAGTTTTCGCCACCCTACCCTACCCCTACCTCCGCCGTCAACCCTCTCGTCGGGTCTCGCTGCTGCGTGTATGTCGACGCGCTGCGGAAAGAGATTACGTTTTAGTCGACGTTTTTTCTCCGGAGAGCTTGCTGCTTAGGGAAACGCGCGCGTTGTTGGGCTCGCGTGATGATTGCGACCTTGATGTCTCGCAGTCATGTAGAAAACGCTTGGAAATTCTGTGTCGGTAACGTAAACTTGATGCATGCACAGGAGGTACGCGCGCTCGCGCGTGTCTACGGTCTGCAGTCTACGGCAGACTCTAATTGAAATAATGGCCATTGTGACACTTTGAGTGTAGTGGTATATCACAGAGAGAAAGAGAGAGGGGGGAGGGAGGGAAGGAGAGAGAGAGAGAGAGAGAGAGAGAGAGAGAGAGAGGGAGAAGATAACGCCGCAAGAGAGACCAAGATACTTCAACTCCGTGATTGCCCGGGCGTCCATTGTCACTTCGGCTGCCTGATTGTTTCGTGAACTTTGCGGTTTTCGTTTCTTCGCGTCCGCTTCGCTCTTCTCTTCACCGGGCCTCGCTAATGTGTGTATATTTAGCGGCGTATCGTATTTCGCCATCGCCCCTCCTCGCGGTTCATCGAGATTACATTACGGAAGCGTAAACCTGCTCGCGCGATAATTGAGACACGGCTGGGTCCGTAGCTGGGAATTTTGGTAGAATCGCATAATTATTGCGCGTTCTACGCGGACACGTCATAGCACATCTCAATTCAATTGTAACAACAGTCGCGTTGAGCTCGGCCAGAATACGTGCGGCCAAAGCTGTTGTTTCGAACCCGTCTGATCGCGCGAGACTTAATAATCACGCGCGGCAATATACATTATATTCTTGTGCGCTCGGACAATCGTTCCAGGGAGAGACAGACAGAGAAAGAGAAAGACTAAAGTAGCCAAGCGCTCGTCCGAAGCCGTCTTTGATCCCCCCTCCCACGATTAACCCCCTGACCCCGTCCGCGCGAAACGACGACGACGACCGTCGCCGTGTCTTCAGCCGTCTACCGTCGCTCAGCTCAGCTAGCGGCACCGTCGCCGATCCAGCCGCTTGATTCCACAATTTTCGTTATTCCGCGGTTAATTAAATCCTCGCTGTGTATTGACGTGTCGCGGACAGAGAAACGCGCGCGCTCGCCTTGCCGGCGGCATCGTTCCGCATCGAGTGGTCGCATTTTCATCGCCGCCGCGTCTCGCTCGCGCATTTCCATTCACTTTCTCGCTTAACCGAGTTATTCAATCCGCACCTCCAGCACCTCTCCCTCCACCCTATTCCCGACCCGCGCTTTACGCACGTACCTTCCTCCCTGGGCGCGTAGCATAGAATTCAACTCGGCAGGAAGGCGTATCGATGCGTTATTCCGGCCGCTCGCGGCCGCGGTACGGGCGGAAAACCGCGGGCAGACAAGCCGCGTAAAAGGAGCGCGAACAAGCGCATCAACAAGAGGCACGTCCCATTTGCGGAGATATGCTGCACGCTGCGCCTGGCCCCGTGAAAAATCTCCGACCACGCGAGCTCTCTCTCTCTCTCTCTCTCTCTCTCTCTCTCTCTCTCTCTCTCTCTCTCTCTCTCTCTCTCTCTCTGTTTCTCGTCATCCCTGGCTGGCTGTGCCGCCTTGAAAATGCGTGGCCGCGAGCGCGCGCGCGCGCTCGCTCGCGCTAGCTAGCTCTACTCGCGCTTTGCGGTGCGACGGCGGGAATACACATCAAAAGATGATGGAAAGGACGATGATACTTTTGCGCTCTCGCGGGCGCGGTATACGCAAATGACGACGCGCGTGTACACGCGACATTGAGACGCCGGTCTCCGGCGGAGCGGAAATAATGCGGATCGTAACGCAGTTGGGGTGGCGCGCGGGTATACACGTCCCTTCCGCCCGCGCGACTTTGAATCGAACTCTCGAGTTGCGAGGTAAACTTTGAATACGCAGTACAAACGCGAGTTTGCGCTCTCTCCATCGAGCCGAGCGATGCGTGGGTATACGGGGTGTCGCGCAAGTCGCGTGCTTCCTCGGGAGGAGGAAAGCTACCGTAACTGCAGGACCCTTTCCGCACTGCGAAAAGCGCGCGACGTCACGTGGCGACTGCCGCGACGAGGCGCTCCTCGAAGACGCACGTACGTGCGTGAATGTTTTATCAGGATACTTGACTTGTCGGATTGCTCCGGTTTCGTCTCGAGCTGATACTCTACTCGCGACGACGAGGAATCGATTTGTAAAAGCGTAGGTGGGAGCATCCCCACGGCTTGAAGCTTGCGATTTTTAGGACACCCCGTCTATGCGGAGTCGCGGCATCCGCGCGAACGGCGCGGGCGGGATGATGAGGGTGAATTTTATCCGCTTTAATCTAACGTCTAGGCTCGCTCGAACGACAGCAATCGCGCCGGCGTATTTTTCATCGCTTCTACGTAGTTCGTGTATTCCATTTGACACGGCAATCTCTTAACTCGCGATTATAATTTAATTGCCGGCACGAAATTGAGAGAGAATCTGGAGCGTTTGCATAATTCTTGTGCACCGATAACTCCGCGAGATGATGATTTAATAAATAATCGTCGCGAGCCTGGGATATATCCGACAATGTTTCTCAAAGACGTCACACTGTCTGAGAAGTTATTCCGCGCGACTCGCGTAAACGACTCGAGAGTTCCTAAGAGTGGATCATTAATCTTTCGTGGCATCTTTATGCACTTACATGTGCGAAAATACCGTCGTACTTTGCATTTTGTGCTCACTGCGCTCCAGCGATATGAAATATCGCTCGTTTTCTATTTACAACCCTTTGCATAATCGTATGAAACGTTAAACGTAAACGTTTCTTTCGTACTGTTGTAAAATGTTGCGCGACGCGACTACTCGATCGTTTCATGTAAAAATAACGGCGCTTCCGCCGGCACGTGCATATAAATCTCTTTACACATCGGACGTGAAAAATTTGATTGGATTTTATTTTAGTTGCATCTCGCGTTCTTTTACTTCATTTCGCCGGCCCGACTTTCGTTTCGTTTCGTATAATACTGCTCTTTCGTACGTTCAATATTTAGCTACAATCCGACAGCCTCGACACAGTAATCATAGCACCTACGTCGGGCCTTTTTAACCCTTTTGCGTCCCGTTCTAAAAACGTACGAGCGCGTTTTGATGTCTTCATTTCCCGGATGCGGCAAGTAGAGTGCACCGTGTCAACAAACAAGACAAAAATAAGCCACGTGCAACGTGTCAATGGTGGATCAATTTTAACAAAAGATAGCTGAAACACACGCGACGCAACAGCAACAGAGCAACGAGAAACTAAAAATTCCCGATGAGACTCGACGCTCGGCAAAATAAAGAGATGACAGTCCGATCACTGACATAATTCGGGACACGCAAATAAACCCTAGTAATCATAATTCGGCCCATGTTTGTTCTGTGCTAAAATAATCGCGAGGACCCGTGTCCGCGTCTCTCACCTCTTCTATCAACAATCGAGACC